CACACACACACACATATCCCAGGGCTGTTGCTGGTCCTGGGATCATGCTTTGATAGCCACTGGTTTAAATTTGGGGCTTTACTGAACAAAGTATATACCTATTTCACACAATTACTTATGCAAATTCTTTTTTTCCTAAACATATGAAAAGCATCTCAAATGTGTGTCTATAACAATTTACTACTGTATTCCTCTATATATCTGTTTCCAAATATTCTAAAACTATTTCTTTAATGTCATTGTTTAAATAATTAGATTTTTTTTTTTTTGCCGCCCTTTGACAAAAGCAGCTCTTTGGACCTCATTTCCCCTCTCTTGTCCTTTTAAATGCTTAATCACTTATAGCTGAAATACACACAAAGGCTTTGGAGGGAGTGGGTGCTGTGGTATAGATCTGGTCTCATTCTCACACCAAGCTGAAGTGATAGCACAAAACAGATGGCAGGGAGCAGAGGCTTGTGTTCAATAAAGCTGTACCTCTAATAAGTTTAATAATCACCACCAATACTGGACAACTGACATTAATCAGACAATATTGGACAGTTTCACCTTTTACAAACAGGACACATCTTCACAAACTATTTAAATCCCTTTGTTTTTACTCAAATGATAAATAGTATTAATTCCACTTGTGAGAAAATGTTAATGTACAATATGAATTATCTAGGCCTTTTCAGTGGCATTTGGTAGCATTTCTGAGAATCTCTTGGTAGGAACCATATTGAACAGCACTGGGTATCAGGATGATTGAATCGATTACTAGTAATTTACTAAAATAATACCAGGCGATTAAGGTATTTTCTATAGACTGGAGTTAGCTGTCAAGTAATTTGGCCTTTTGATGGTGAAAAACAAAACAAAACAAAACAAAACAACCAACACTTCTGCAACTAATTGATGCCTAAAATTCTACAGTAGAATTTCATTCCTTTGGCGTAAGGCTTTAAAAACCCCTGTTAAACAGCAAATGACCTTCAAAAGAGGTAGCATTAAGCCTTATAACCCCAAAGTAAATAAATGTATTTCTTTCCTGAGAGCATGCTTTTCTTATCTAGGAAGAGCGCAAACTAGGAGGCACTCAGAAGAGTTGGTGCTGGAAAGCAAGGTCTGGGGAAAATGGAGCAGAAACTATAAACCTTGGATTCCAACGGCAGACCTCCAACTCATTCACTGTTTTGCTGATGGGATATTCTGTCAGCATCCCTTACTAAAATGGGCACTAACTTGCCACTTGGAAAACATTACTTAGAAAGCAACCATGTTTTCTGATAATAATGAAGATTCTTTTATGTCTAAGCATACGAAGGTTTATAGCAGTGAAAAACAGATAGCAATAAAGACATCTGATACAACAGGTAGTGAGTTATCCCCCAAATCAGAAGAACCATGCTTGTTCATTGGAAGAAGAAACTGATAATACTTTATGGAGTGCAAATCGCAGGGCCAGGATGAGGGTAAGGCACTTGCACAGCCCTGAGAGCGGGCACCTCCTTAAACTTTGCGCCCCAGGCGCCTCAGTCACCTCACTCTAGTCCTGGCCCTGGCAAATCATATTAAAGTGAAAGGTCACCAATGTGTTACAGACCTGGTGATAATGAAAGGCTGCAATGGTGAGGGAAAAAAGCACTGATCATGAACTCATCTTTTTAGGGAATAGTTCATTTATGAGGAAGAGGGCAGGTGCTTGGCCAGATCTGCTCAGATGGATGATATAGTGAGATAGCAACCTAATTCATGTTGTCTAGACTCTAGAGAGTTAGAATGGATGTCTGGTAAAATGCTTGTGGAACCTCATCTGTCTTTGCATATTTAATGTGAAGTCTCCAGATCAACTGGTCAATTTGTGGCCATTAAGCTAACATGAATTAATATGCTGCTTTGCTCTTGCCTCCTTAAAGGGCAAGCTGTCAGCTAGGGAAGCAATTTACAGGGGTTACAGATAACGGACAAGTTGAGGCCAGGTGGAAGTCCCAGGAGAGAGAATGAAGCAGACAAAGGAGAAGAGAAACCAGTGAAGCTTCCTGTTATGTTGAGAATGACTTGCTCTCTATCCTCAACATCCATGCCACAAATAAGTGCAAAGCACTTTTAGCTACCAACTAACCTCTCCTGGGGTTGACTTCCTGCTCTCCTCACTGGACTGAAGTCAGTCTACAGAGCCACCTGCTGCTATTAGTTGGAATCAGAGGAAAAGGGGACAGAAACAACTTGAATTATTAGCTGACCCCCTGGGGCCAACTTCATTTCCCTTGCACCTCTTCTGTATTCCACCTTCAAAAATTGTTATTATTATTTCTCACACTAGTAATAGTGGCAGTAATAGGTTCTCTGAAAGCCTTTCTAGAGGAGTTTTCAGCCTCTCTTCTCCAAGTTTCAGCAGAATAGGTGCAGAAGGCAGCAAATACTATGGGTTGTGCCTAGGTGGGAGAGAGAGTTGGTGTTACGATAATCAAGCAGGGAGGAGAGAGGTTGAGTGTTAGGAATAGGAAAGATGTTCAGTGTTCTGTTCATTGATGATTGGTAGAAATAGTAGTTTGGTTGTTTGGAACTAGGTCCACCTGTTGTAAAACATTAAGTAAATATTTCCAGTCCTCAATGTTACCTCTGACCATAAAATCTTTGCCCCAAATGCTCTTGTGCAATGGGAACACCACTGAGCATCTGAGGGCCAGAGTGATGATGTAGGAGATGTTCTAAAAAATCCAGGCATACAGATTATTGTAGAGGAAGTAAGACTCAAGGTAATTGGAAAATATAAAGTTATCAGTGAATTTAGCTTAGAATCTTTTGGTGAATCCACTAAAGATAGCAAGGTGAGGGGAGAGGTAAAACCCACAAGAAGTAGCAAACAAGATGCTTCCAGAAAAATCAGCAGAAGTAACAAGTCCTAAACGATGTGAGTCTCATACTTGGTTTTAGAGTTCAGCTATTCATAATGGTTCTTAAGAAGGCCCTGGCTGTTCTTTATCTTTGTTAGGCAAAAGCACAGACTCTCCTTCATTTCCCTACAGAGCAAGATGTTTGCACCTTTTGGAATTCTGAGACTGGGACAGACAAGAGTGGCATTCATATATAAATTAAGGCCAGTAATGAATCTATTTTACTTCCGGTAAAACCCTTGAAATTTGGCCAGATCCTTCTGTTATGTTGAGAACGACTTGCTCTATATCCTCAACATCCATACCACAGACAAATAGTTTTAATTCTTTACAAAGCATCTGGGATTTTGTTGTTTATTATATTATATGGCTTTGGTCTAAATCAGGGGAAAGTGCTGATTGCAAGGGAGAGGGTGGGTCTGGCCTGTACTCAGAAGTCTAGAATTCAGAACTGTACCAACCAAGTGCTTAGGCCCAGAGCTTCTGTGTGAAAGGGTTAAGTCTTTTCAGCACACAGTGTGGTTTTTCTGCTGCTCTGTTCTCTGGAGTGTGGGCAGTTGTGCTGAGTTTGCTTCTTACTTGTGAGAAACACGATCTATCAAAATCAAGATCTGCTTATATCTGGGGCAGTTTCTGCATCCTCTAGGAGGTTATTGACCAGTGAATCTGTTGGAGGGGTGGGTGAAGAAGTAAAGGGTAAGGGATCCCTCTTTGTGAAACAGAATACTATTTTATTTGACTTCTTTCCCTCTCTTTGGACAGTGGACAAATACCTTTCCATTATTGCTGAACCAATTTTGTTTGTTTAATTATTGGTCTGTTTTCCCCCCAACCCCCCAGAAACCAGACATGAAAATCAAATGAATCACTGCTCTGGATTTGCTTAGAAAATTGACCTGACAAGGAGACTTAGTGCCTTGGGGGAGAGGGGCAAGAGGAATCACAATGATTGTTTTGGAGTTGCATCAGCATCCCAATTACCCAGTTCTTACCCTCTCTCCCCATATGGTTAACTAATTAGGCCTTTTTGTGTTATGGGCCATAGCAACTTGCAAGGCTGCCTTTTAGATTCTGGATGTATCTTTTTAGTTTATACATTCTCAGTTCTGGACCATAGTAAGAATTCCTTTAAACAAAACAAACCACAATCTGAATTGAATGGTTGTGGGCAAGTTACACTTACTTTCTCTACTCCTTGAACCTTTGATGATGCCATTAGTTCAGCTAATTTCTTCCTGTAATGAATGTTATATGATAATGAAATGAGAGTTCTTTAAATGCAGCATAAGCTGGGCACAGATTTTAGCTATCATTGTTGACAGACATTAGAAGGGTCCAAAGGCGTGCATGCAAGTTACCTCAGATAGATCAGAGTGGACAAATGGCTGCTTTGTTTGTTGGCTGAGCTTGGTTCATTCAAAGTAACCAGGTTCTGACCTTTTCTAGTTAAGGGGTCTGTGTGTTTGGGGGGGGGTCTGTTTGTTATCAAAACTCATCACCCTGATCACCGTGTAGACAAACTGAAAAAGGCATGAAGTTCAGGATCAAGTAACATTCATATTTTGCACAAAAGCCATCCAATCAACTCATGCCAATATAAGTGCACACTTGCAAACCTCTAGTGGGAGAGAGTTAAACTGTAGTTGAAGAGGCATCAGAGTCTTTCTGTTTCTCCACACAAGTCATTAAGGCCTCACCAAGGAAGTAAATAATCAACAATGGCTCCCTATTTCCCCAGGTTTGACAGCCCCCAATCTGCTCTCACACTGTCTCCTCAGTAACAGGACCCAGGGATGGAGCAGTCGGTCATTCATTGAAAAGATGCATGTGTGCCCTTGCATCTGAGAATTTCTTCTTGATGCACACCACTGGCAGAAAATAAGAAAATCTGTAGTCAATAATGGCAAGATTTTAAGTATGAAAACATAAAAATCTGCATATGATTAAAGTGCCTGATGATTTCTAGATAAAGTGGTCTCTCGCCTGCTGTCCAGAGTGTGAGTTTAAGTAAAAGAAATGTAGGCTCTTTTGTTATTTCCATGGTTTCTTTTTAGAACCCTTCCTTTTCCCCCTTTTTTATACTCAATTTAGTAAATGAATCCTACTTGCTCAACCCAGGGCTTAGGTACTGGGACTACCGGTGGTGTCGTAGTCGTTTGAAAACTGTGCAATAATTCTCCGAGCAAGTGGATTAGTGGTCTTCAGCAGTTCAGCTGCTGAGGGGCGGGACCTTGGATTTGCCTTACTTCCCTTCTTCTGTAACAAGGCCTTGAAATCATCGTTTCTGCCAGCATCTAGACTGGTACTGCCGCTTGACCCTACAGAAGCAGTTGGCTCACTAATTGGAGAATCAGCTGTGTTCCTTATTGGTGAGTGGGAGCTCGGTCTGCTGCCTCCGGCAAAGGTGTCACCGGGCTCCTTCCAGCCAAGCAGCTTTCTTTTGGACCTAAAGAAGAGAAGTTTTGCTTTGAGTGAATTCGTGTGGTGGACATTTCCTAATGCTTCATATAACTTCATGAATGCCAGTGACATGATCTGGTAACTTCTATGCAGCAGCCTTGCAAGCAATCATACTCACTACCTTTCTCTCTCACCATTGAGACCCTTTGCTCCCTTGTCTGGCTCCATCTCCCTTCACTTTCTTTTTCTTTAAAAAAATATTTTTATTGATTTCAGAGAGGAAGGGAGAGGGAGAGATAGATAGATAGATAGATAGATAGATAGATAGATAGATAGATAGATAAAAACCTCAATGATGAGAGAGAATCATTGATCGGCTGTCTCCTACATGCCCCCTACTACTGGGGATTGAGCCTGCAACTGGGGCATATACCTGACTGGGAATCAAACCTTGACCTCCTGGTTCATAGGCTGACACTCAACCACTGAGTCACATCGGCTGGGCAACCCTTCACTCGTTTCAATGCCTGCAGCTGGAGTCATTGGCCTGTGCCTGCAGGCTCAGTTCTGCCCAGTTCTGGGACCCAAGAAGAATTTAAGGAGTCAAGGCTACAAGCTCAGTGACTCTGAATCAAGACAGCCTGTGAACTGATCCTGCTCTGAACTGGTGCTCTAGCTCCAACAACTGGTCCTTTCAGTTTCCTCCCCACCAAGCCCCTGCTTTGTGCCCCTGTCCAATAACTGAATCCCCATCAGGTCTCCCTTTGCCTAAGTTCTTGCTTTGATACTTGGCCTGATGCCCCACTTCACTTCTTTTTTTCCCCCACTTCACTTCTTGATAAGATTTTTTGGTACCAGGAATTCTATGAAGGGTTAAATGTCTCTGATTGCATACAAAGCTGTAAGAGAGCAGAAAGATCCGCAATAGGTCCTGCGGTTGCTAGGAGACAAGGGGCCTCTCTCTTGGCACCTGGTCTTCCTTTCCCCGCCCCTTCTGCACTTCATCCAAAGATGTCAGTGAATTGGTGATGTGAGGTCCTAGACTGTTTCACATATGTGGGAATCTGAAGTTAAGTATCTAACTTCAATTCTAATGGCTGCTTAGAGGTAGCATTTTGTCTTTTGGTATAAAAAGTAAAGGTGATTACAATAGGAACTAAGGAAATTGGTCCAGACCTGTGTATCACAGTAAATAAATCTTCAGTTGTACGTGAAGCCACAAACACATCATCATCATCTTCTGCAATCCATTCAGCTGTTTTATCACTGATAACACTTTTTTCTTCAGTACTTGGTTCCATAGTACTCCCTAGGTATAAGAACCAGAAGGAATTATTTTGACCACAATAGTGAGGACCAAGCACATTATCATATGTATTTCATTTGATGTTCAATGCAACTCTGTCCACCCATCTACTGATGGGTGCAGGCAGAGACTCTCAATGTCTCCATTTTGCAAAGAACATAATGTTCAGAAGGTTAGTGATTTTGCCAAGGTGGATTCAGTGCTAAAGATTAAGCCTGGATCTTTATTCTCTCATGCCTCTTCCATTACAATAGGATGATTGAGCATTTTCTTATTTTAAATGTGTCATTTTTAAAGATCAAGGAACTAAGAGCAATTAAGCAATGATTCAACCAATGGATGGGAGTGTGACCTTTCTGAATCTCAGGGGGAGCCTTTGGAGTTTAAGGATGAATATTTTAAAATTACCCATGGCTTTGATTTGTTTGCATGTTTTAGTCACAATGACTTATTTTATTTTGAAAGTCCAAATCAACTCAAGGAAGGCCAAAAGATTTTGGTGTTAAGAGTTCAAAAAGAAAAAAGAGTGAGAAACATGGATGAACTTGGAGGATCTTATGCTAGGTGAAATAAACCAGTCACAGAAGGGCAAATGCTTCATGATTCTACTTATATGAGGTCCCTAGAGTAGTGAGATTCAGAGACAGAAAGCAGAATAATGGTTGCCAGGTGCTGGAGGGAGAGGGCAATGGAAAGTTACTGTTTAATGGTTGTAGACTTCAATTTTGCAAGATGAAAAGAGTTCTGGAGATGGATGGTGGTGATGGTTGCTCAACATTGTGGTTATAATTAACATCACTGAACTGTACACTTAAAAATGGTTAAGGTGATAAATTTTATGTTATGTGTATTTTGCCACAGTGAAAACAAAAAGGGACAGGAGAAAAATAAAAAAGGATGACAAATATTATCTAGCCTAGTCTTCTTGTTCTAGAAAGAGCTAAACATCCAAGAAAGTGAGCTCTATTTCCTCTCAAAGCCACTAGGTAAGTCTGCTGCTGGTACATATTGCATTGCTTCAGAAGCCTGCAAGCCCACCACAGCACTTGACCTCAGCCTGGGAGAGTATAAGTCCCATGCAAGAAACTAAATTCAGCGTGGGTAGTGAAAAGTACTGTACAGTGATGTAGAGAGTTCCTAGGGTAGGGGATCATGTCTGATTAGGTAAATGGGCTCTTAAGGTCCCAAAGTGATAAGACCTAGTTTAATTTCATTACCTCTGCACTGGGGGTTCCTGAGTAGGCTGCCTCAAACTGAACTTTGGAGATCAACCCCTGGGCCAGTCCCAATCCCCTGATCCCAAGGGCAGTGAGGCCCATTTAGAGTAACCCAAACCCTCAAGAGGTGCCCCTACTAATTTGGTCATCCCAAGGTCAGGATCATGGATTTTTGTCTCTGGCACTACATTCTCACCACCATCTCTCCTGGGATTGAAAAGAAAAGCCATCAGATAGTTTACTAACCTGGAGGGCTTGCCTCCCTTCCATCATCAGCCTGTGGTGTGGAAGTTGTCTTTATTGTACCAGATGATTGCAGGTGGTCACCAGTGGAGGGACACTTAGCGTCTTCCAGGGTGATGATGGGGCTGACAGGCAGCCTTGGTTCAGCAACATAGTCCTCCATTTGAGCTGTGGGTGAGGTGAGAGGCAGATATAACACACTGGGCTTTTTTGGTACAGGAGGTGGAATCTTGCTTTTCTTCTTCTCAGCTTGTTCCTGGCTCTGGAGGCTAATTCTTTCAGATAGAGCTCTCACTTTCGGGCCCTCATCCTCTGTACTTCCCTGGAGAGGTTGCTGTGTTCCTGAGCAGAAAGCACCAGAGGAACTGGCAAAAGGTGTAAAAACAAGAGATGAGGGTGCTGTTGACTCCCCTGGGCTTCTGGCCTCAGGGAAGCTGGAGGACTTTGGTTTCCGCACCACCGTGTAGATGTCTGGAGGGAATGGCCTCATGTATTGAATTGAGCTCTGAGGTGTCATAGCTAATGTAGGCGAAGTTAATGGGTACTCCTCAGGGACAGACTGTGGCTTGTGAACCAAGCTTAGAGGCCTTCGGGCCAGCGGAGGTTTCTCAGCTATGGGAGGTCTCATCTTTCTCTCTTGTAAGGTAAAGACTTCTCCTGACTCCTCAGCATAGTCAGGGCTCTCAATGTCATCTTCTGGCTCAGACTTGCTTACTGACCTGAGGCGGACAGAACGTAGGTCAGACTGAGTAACCATGGGCATGACTGGCTGATTGGGGCCAGTTTTCTGGACCAACTTGGCCCCAAAATTTGTATCTGAGTGATTCCGGCTCACCTTGGTTTTGCTTCGTAAGGAGATACTCATCCCAGATAGATCCAGGTAGGTAGAAGAGGTCAATGGTAGGTCAAACGATAATCGTGACTTAGAAATTTTCTCCATTGGCGATGGTGGGGGCAGTGATGACTTCCTCTCAGGTACCACTGGACGCACCCGGACACTGCCACTTGGAGGAGGTAAGTGGCCCAGGGTCAAGGACATGGAGACAGTGGGTGTTGGTGTTTCTGACTGGCTGGAGTACCCACTGGACGGTGACATCAGCCCAGTGGGCCTTCCTGGAGAGGTTACCTCCCTGGCCTCTACCTCAATGGAGAGTTGGGAAGGAGTAGTAGCTCTTGAGATGGAAGGGGAGGCAAGAGACTCTGAGCTGCCCTGAACTTGGGTGCACTCAATGACTGTGGTGCCAGTGGCAGTGCTAGAGCTGGACAAGGACTGGTAGGTATCACCAGACTTCCAGTCAGTAAGATACCAGTGGTGGGAGAATTGTGAATCTTCTGGGTCTTTGAAAATGGGCACAGCTGGGTGACCCTGGGATGAATGATGTCCTTGGTGTTCCAAGGAGAGGCAAAGGCTCTTGGACCTCTGGTCCTTGAGTAGTGCTGACCCACCTTCTGGCAAGAGGACTGGTTCATCTTTGACCAGTGAGACACTGCGCATTGGTGGGGAAGGCTTCTTTTTGGCCTTCTTGAGTGAGATACTCTTGGATCTCTGCCTTCTGTGGTGGGCCTCTTGCTGGGAGCTAATGGAGGCAATGTTGTCAGCACTGTTACTGCCCTCAGAACTTGTATTGGCATAAGGCAGGGCACAGGCTTCACTGGACTTCTGCTCCTCATTATAGTCTACATCTGTGGTGCCTGAGTCTGTGGGTACAGAGAGTGACCGCTCCCGGAACCTGCTGGTCCCACCTGGGCCTGTCTCCAGCCTTGAGGTGCCACCAGTCAGAAGGCCAATCTTGAAGGGTCGCTCTGATACTTGCCTTTGTTGAGTAGAGGGTTCAGAGTAGCCAGCTGATCCACTGCATCCTGCTGGGTTATCACGAGTGACAAGGAGTGCAGCAGCCTCCTTAGGAACCAGAGGTGGCAGTGTGTGCAGAGAGACCCATGAATTTCCAGAAGCAGGTTTTTTTTCATATTCATTGACTTGATTGCTCTGACTGGTGGCATTTGGAGTCATATAGGTGAAAGCATCTCCTTTCCACAAAGCAGAGAATGTAGATTCTGTTGGTCCATTGCAAGAACTGGAGACACTATACACCATTCCAATGCTTTCCATGCCAGGAGGCGTGGTGCCACCACACACCTGGAGAGGTTTGTCTGGATCACCAGAAGGATTTCTCAGTACTGATGAGGTGATATTTGGGAAACGAGCTTCCTGACCAACTGAAACTCTTCCATGAACACCTTCTGGAACAGAATGACTGGGCTTGATATCTGAGCTGGTAGAGCAAGCTAACCTGCCTGTGGGGCTGTTGCTGAGACCTGTAGGAGTGAAAAACAGAACATTAGTGGTACAGCCAGGGATCCCCCAGCAGCACTAAAATTTTGCCAAGAAGCATTTGCCAACAACATGGACAGAATTCCTTTGTTCTTCCTTTCCGCAGATAAGAGTGCGGGGGAAGTTGGGTCCCTGCCCATCATGACATGGTGAGTCACAGGGTGGCCTTGAATTATCCAGATGGCTTCCAAAGACTTTCCAGTTTTGATTATTCCTTTTGGAGCTGAAGTAGCAGGTGGGACTACCTTGGGTTTTCCAGGCCTTTCACCCCAGGTTCATGAAACCATCACAGACCTCAGAGTTCACCTCTCTTGAGGTGAAAGCAGAAGTTTTTGAACTATAAAGGACAGCACGGTGTGACTTTTAGCCCCAGAAATGAATTTGGAATAAGCCACAGTTGGAAAGCCCAGAGTCTGTTTGCATTTTTGGCACCTGTAACTTTTTAGGTTTGCAACATGAGATACTTAAGATAATCTACAGATGTGAGGCAACCGTTCAGATGTTCAGAATCCCCAAAGATTACTCATACACACAATTATTACTGTTCTATAATTATTATTACTACTTTTACTGCTATGATAATTTATAGTTACAGTCACCCTTTGTTGAACACATACTATGTACCAGGCACATGGCAGGCAAATTACATACAATGACTCTAATCCTCACAGCAACTCCATCAGTTGGCATCGTTATCCCCAATTTATAGATGAAGAAGCTGAGGATCAGAGAGGTTATATAACCTGGCCAAGGCCTGTTCTCTTTGAACAGCATTCATTTAACAGCATAATGGTTCTGCCAAGATGGTTCTTTTAGTGTTACTTCCTCCCTTTACCTACTTGCCTAAACTTGACATATATTCCAATCATTATGAGAAAGAATAACATAATAAATTTATAGCCTGGGAGTCCTTCATATTTGGTTCCTCCCCTTGACCAAAGACCCTTGGCTATCTTTAATCACCACATTGGCTTTTCAGGATGTCCAAAGCCTCCTCCCCCAAATTATTCTTGATCCCCATAACCACAATACCACCCAGGTGGCAGAATTGGTGGGAGAGAAAAAGGGGAAGGGTCTGAGGAATCAGCTGTGGTGGGGTCACCTTGATCTCGCTGGGAAAAGTTAGAGAATCCAATAATGGTCCGCCTCCGCCTCAGGGTGGACTTGGGGTTCACGGCTGTCTCTGTGTTAAACAAGGAGTGTCGCAAACTTGCATGTTTATCGAACTGCTGCCCTGTAGCCAAAATAAAGACACTTGGGTGCATCTTGGTTTCTGTTTACAATACAGTGGGAATGGGCCTGAGGTAGAGAGAAGGGATGATGGCAGTAGCGATGAGCATGAGTAGCATCCAGGCAGGTGGCCCTTCTTTCATATCCCTCCCAACATGACCCCAGACACTCAGAGCACCAAGGCATACATAGGCCTCACCCAGGGTTTTCAATCCTGAGTACATATCGAAATAAACTGAGCAGTTTTTGAAATTCAAATACCTGAACCTCATTCCAGAACATTGGAGTCTTTGGGAGGAGGGCCCAGGTAGAAGCTATTTCTCAAACTCCCCAGGTAGTTGATTATTCAGATGTATATTCTGAACCACTGATTTAGAGAGACAGGTTGAGACTAGATGTTGCTTGACTGTAATCTTTTCTAAATAAATAAATAAATAAATAAATAAATAAATAAATAAATAAATAAATGCCTTTAGCCTGACCGGTGTGGTTCAGTGGTTGAGTGTTGGCTCATGAACAAGGAGGTCATGGTTTGATTCCTGGTCAAGGCACATGCCCAGGTTTCAGGCTCAATCCCCAGAGTGGGGCATGCAGGAGGCAGCCGATTGATGTTTCTTTCTCATGGATGTTTCTATCTATCTCTCTCCATCTCCCTTCCTCTCTATAAAATCAATAAAAATATATATCTTAAAAAATTCTTAATGTTGGACAGAGGACAGTGTCTCCCAGAAGCTGCCTTGCCTCCCCCTTTATCTAGGAAGCAGCTTGGTAGTCTGTCCTCCAGCCACCTTTGATTACATTTTGTCAAAGTTCACCCCTGGGCAGTGACTGAGATCTATTTCTCTTAAAGCACTGGGTCAGTCTTTGTTCCTGTGTAACTGCTGGGACAGGGTCAGGGTGAGATAGGGGGTGATTATGCTGCTCTCCTCACTGTCTCTCATTCAATAGCTGGCTAACCAAACTCTCCCCTCACAGCTTCACAGCTGCATATGATACCCTCCTCCCACACATGACTCCATGGACAAAGCTCAGTGCCAGCCTTATTGAGAGTAAGATAGAAGTTTAGAAATAAAGTGCCCACCATCACACCTCTTTGTACATCTCCCTAGGCTGTGGGCTCTATTTTCTTCCTCTATTTTCCTGAGATGACACCAATGGTGCTGGATGGCCCCATATACAGAGAACGTCACCACATGTGACCAGAGGAGTCCTCATCTTAATCAACTTTTCCCAGCATACCACAAGCCAATGCTAGATCACACAACGCCTCTGGTTCCTTTAGGTCATGAAGTCTTGATTTCATTGGGTTGCTGGTCCTATCTCCTTCTGAAATGACCAAGCTTCCTTCTCTTCCACTTACAGTCAATGGAATGTGGAGCACGAATTAATAACAAGTGTCACATGTTCCCAAAGCCACATCCAACTAAGCTACATACATCATTTCCCCCACTTTTGAGGTAGTACTGCCCCCCCATCTCCTTTGGCCTTTTGGGCCTTGGTCCCTTTCTGTTACTTCCCTTCCTAAACACTTGCCATGCGTGAATTGAGGAGACCCATCTCACCTAAAGACTGAGTGTCTACTTAAAGTGCCATCAGGCCCATGGTCTGCACCCTAGGTATGAGCCTACCTTTTATCATCAACACTCTGAACCCCACACTTTCCCTCAGACACCTATCCAAACATAGATTCTGGCAGAGAAGTTTCCTTTCCCCAACCCAAATATAACTCACAAATTTTAAATATCCATGGACACTCCAAAGAGCACTTAAGTTCATAAAGTTTCAGAGTTTTCTTTAAGAACATTTTGTTTGCTATCAGATGGTCTCAGTTAGTGTGGAAGTGCTAGTAGAGTGAAGAAAGAGCAGCCATAGCCCCATCTTCTGCATGCCTCGATTCCCTGGCAGGAGCCATGACCTTGACAGTGCAGGGTGAGCCAGTAGCAGAGAAAGTCTTGCTCCCTCCCCCAGCATCCAGTGCATTTGGAGAGGATGGTCTGTAGTTGGCATGGGGGGAAGCAAACAGAGGTGGTGCTAAGCAACTCTACCAGAGATGTTGATGGGCACAATGTCAGAGTGCGTGGAACAAGGCTGAAGCCACCGCTTCTCCTCTAGGATGGGCAGAGGGAAGGGGATATTCCAGGCAACTTGCTTGTCCGCTGTGGTAGACAGGCTCAGGGAGGCCTCAGGGGCCCTCACACCCTGGGTGGTAGTCTCATCCTCTCTCAGCTGCTGTTTTGTAGGCTGTTGGGAAAGAAGGTGATGGGAAAGGTGTGCTCCTGACTGGAGATGAGCCATGCCCACAAAATAGCTGTCTAGGCAGGCTGGTTGGAGGCTTCGTCTGGGAGGCAGGAGAACATGGACAGGCTGCCAGGCCAGACACCTAATGTGAAAGACCCATATGGGCTGGGCCTCAGGGTAGCTCTGCTGGTGAGCAGAGATGAGCAGCAATATCCAGTGGATAATGTAAGCAGCTCAAGATCCCCTGTTGATGGGTGCAGGGCGAGCTCTGCACTGGCTCTCCCAGGCAGGGGAAGATGCAACTCACCATCAATACAAACTCCAGACGCCTGGCAGACTGGGGCCTTGGGCTGGGAGTGGGCTCAGGGGCCTCATCAGCAGAGCGGAAGGTCTGCCCCAGCAGTCTGGCCTCTGAGTACTGCTCCTCATATTCTTCTGAAAAACAGCATAGTAGATACAAACTCTAGGGGGCCACGGTCAAGTGCCAAGCAGGGGAGGGACCATGAGCCAGGGCTCCTGCTCTAGCTGCCAGGCCTGACTCGCACTATTTCTTTAGGATATTTCCTGGCCTCTGAACCTCTGGAAAAATGAATACTTCCTGGGACTATGAGAGCCAAGGAGAAAAGACAATCAAGAAATTTGAGTTGTGCCAGTTCTAGGATTAAGTCCTTGTCTCTGTGGTCCACACCTTAAGTGTTCAACTTGGAGTGGAGGCTCAGGGTACAGACACCTTTTGCTACTTTATGCTGCAAGGTCCTCTCTTTGAAGCCCTGCAGTTCTTCAGGTTTTCTGCAACCTTAGCTGAGAAAAGACCTGGGTGAAACAGATGGAGGTTTGTATTGGGAAGTCCAATGTGAGGTGTTCCCTTGAATGTCAAGAACTCTTACTCGAGGATCCAAAAGCCTGGCTTCCTGCATCTTAGTCCTGCTGTAGATGGTGACAGGTCCAGGGGAGTGTAGGTGGAGAGGAAAGTGAGGAAGTGGCATAGAAGGAAGGAGAATTTCAGTGGCATCATCAGGGAATATGAAGGATGCATAAGATTTGAATTGGTTTCATTTAACTGATGAATTCAAAGGAAGGGAAGGAATCCAATGAAATGAAGGAAGTGAGAGTAAGGAATCAACAGGCAGGGCTCTATGCATATTTGAGCAAAGATTTAAGAATCAACAGAGTCAGGAGGGTCCTCAAAGGTTCTCTGGTCCAACACCCCATTCTGGGTTCAGGCTTTCTCTTCAGCAGCTCTTCAGCGTGTCTCTTGAGCCTCTGCATACGCTTGCAGAAGAGGGAACAGCCCTCTTCCCAATGCTGATGATTCCATCCAAGGACAGTTGGGACTGTCAGGTGTCAGGAAACTTGTTCCTCATCTTGAGATGAAATCTGCTTCCCTCTAGGTTGCTCCCTCAGTGCTAACTGTCCATGGAGGCACCACAGAATACATTGACTCTTTTCCTGCATGGTAGCTCCTTTCTTATCTGAACACAAGGCTCATGGTGTCCCTTGGTATCTTGCTTCTCTAAGGTCAGCGCTGTCCTGGCAAGGAGGTGGGGGTTATGGCTATAGTCCAGTTGGGTGGCCATGTGCCACTTTCTATTCTCCACCAGTGTTAATATTCATTGGCATGAATAAATGAGAGCTGATAAGATGTTTTTTCACATTTAATGATCACTCAAGAAATGTCTATTGAGCACTTCTTGGGGAACAAACCCTGTGCCAGGTGCTTCTGGGAACCCAAGAGACATGGTTCTTTATGTTGACAAGCTCAGTCTGGTCAGGTGGACAAAATATATACCCAGGACTAGTAGATGAAAGAGTAAATGAGTGAACAAATGAAAGGAAAAGCAGTTCAGAACTATAACAGTCCTCTTGAACTGGATGGTACAAAGCGCCTCATATGAGTGCTTATGGAGGGAATGGTGCAAAGTTCAGAACTTGTGTGAAAGGTTTTCTTAGAGGAGGCAAGAATATAACTTTAAAGAAAGTATAAGGATTGGAGTGGGAAGAGGGAGGAATGTCTTCTAGGTTTAGAAAAGAGGTCTGAATGGGACGTGAGGGCTGAAAGGGGGTATGGAGCTTGTGACTTAGCATTGAATTTTTATTTGTATTATTTTATTGAGATATAACTTACCAATAGTAAAGTGCACATACTTGTGTATAGTTCAGTGAACTTGGACATATGCATGCCTCTTTGTAATCTCCACCCAGGTATTTGCAGCTCACCAATAGTTTCTCATAGATCTGAGCTTTAATATTTTGCCACTTACATAGGGTAAATTCATCTGGTAAATGTGTATTTTTTTTCATATTGTAAGTCTCATCAGGGAACACCTTATTTTTTATATTAACTTTAATATTGTGTTTAGCTCATCCCATGTTCCAAAGGACATGCACTGAGAGTTGATGCTGCATCTCATCAGGGTCTTTCCAGCAGCAAAACACTCTTGCTAAGCCCTATTTTTAGTTGTCACAGAACTGTGCCATGTGGAGAATTGGAATTCCCATTTTAAAGACGACTGATGTGAATCTCAGAGAGGGTGGGTATCTGCATAATGTCACACAGCTAGGTAGGTGTGTGAATAGAATTATATTCTAGCTCTGTTTTCCAAGTCTGGGTTTTCTCCACCTGCCTGGTGAGTGCAGTGTGACTGCTCAGGCACCCTGACTGGGCTGCTTCTCTGGGTCTGTGGACCCAGTTTTGCATACTATATGCTCAAAGACAGTGGGTTGGGAATTGGGGGTGAAGTGAGCGCTAGGTGCTGTATAATTGGGCTTGCTTTGGTAAAGCAGTAGCTACTCAGAAGATAATGTGGACAAGGTTAATGCAAGAGTAGAATGAGTGAAGCCCAGAGGGAGACTCTGCAGGTGCCTTCTTTGGCTTTCACTGCCAGGATTCCAAAGGTATGGGTGATGTGGCAAGGAAAGTCTGGGAGGTATGTGGGCTACATTGTGAGAGTCTCTCACCCATCTGTCTTTGGAAATGAATGGTTTAACCATTTGCCCTGTCTCAATTTCTGTCCTCCCCCCCCCCGCCCCCCATGGACTACTGAGCTTTAAAAAAAAAAAGGTGGTGGTGGTGGTGGTAGTGATTTAGAAGCAGTCTGGAAGGTGACATATGGAAAATGTGTGTTTTATTTTACAATGGGTTTTAAACTTTTTTTTTCTCTCTCAATAGTTCCTGTCCTCTTCTTCAGTGCCTCACTCAGTTGCTGTGTATCTGGCCTGTGGATCCAGACAAAGCCCCATACCCTCTTGGTACCTTGCAACAGGCTCTGGAGATTAAGCTGCGCCTCTCGAAGCAGCTCCTCTACACTCGGGGGCCTGCCTGAGGAGAGGAACACGTTCACTGGCTGTCGCCATGACGACCTGGAGTGGGCAGTCGCTGTCGCATTTTCCCGACCTGAGTTAGCTGCAGCTAGGGAAGGAGAGAGTCAGTGAGAGGCTCAGCCCAGGGTGGGCGAGGCGGCCATTGGGCGCCCACAATGCCCGAAGTCCCGCCCCTGCCGGTGGGGGTTGGGCGGGGCGAGGCTGAACTTAAAAGGCGGGGATTAGGCAGCGGCAATATTTTCCCTCTACAGATAGTGCAGCAGCCCGCTCCTTCCAGCTCTGCTCCGGTGCCGCCTGGTGCTGCTGACTCGCCTCCTGCGACCTCCGCTCTGCGCCTCTGGGCTCCTGCCGCTGTCTGCCCTTTCCGGTCCTCTGGACAAGGTAACGTGCCCCAGACCCAGCTGGCAGGCCTTGCACCTGCAGCGCCCGCTCCCCGTGCTCGCCCCTGTGGGTGTGGCTCGGCCTACCCGGCCCCAACGCTCCCTTCCCATGTCCCTCCATATTTCGGCCTCCTTCCGAGTGCCTAGCTCTCTGTCTGCGCCCCACCCCCATAACTACCCCGCTCGCAGACCCAGAGCCCCGGGCGAGTCCAGATGTCCGAGGCATCAGGAAATCTCAATAACCTTCGCATGGCAAACGTGGCCCTGCTAGAAGAATTAAATGCCCTTCGTGGGGAGAATGACAATTTGGGCCTTCAGCTCGGAAGAGCCCTGGCCGAGGTGAATTCCTTGCGGGGCAATGTCTCCAGCTTGGTGCGTTGGCCAGTGCAGGTCCTAGAGGAGGAGAACTTTGAGTTCCGCTCAGAGAGATATACTCCGTGCCCGAGGGCGAACTGCCCTTCATGTGCTGGCCTCCCCCACACACAGATCCCGAGAGCGCCTGAGAGGAGCTGTTGGTCAACACCACCCAGGACTGCAGCACCTCAGAAGGCCAGGTTGACCCTTCCCCGCAGCCTAGCCCGCCCCTGCCAGCTCTGGCGCTGCTCCTGCCCACCTCCAAGGAGCTGCCCCCACAGCCTCCTATGCTGCCTCTGGTGTGGCCTGAGTTAGAGCCCTTTTCAGGCGACCTGGTCTACCTGCCTGAATTCCTGATGTGGCTAGGGACCTTCATAGCCCACCATGAGGATCATTTCCCTGGGGGTGCTAAGCGGGTGGACTTTCTGATCTCCTTTTTCACTGGTGACTCCAAAGACTGGGCCATCACAGTCACCCAGGAAGGAAGCCCCCTGAATGCCAACTTCCCTCGCTTCCTGGATGAAATCCGTAAGAAATTCTGTGGCCCTATCCCCCCAAGTGTGGCGAAAAAGGCCATCCGCAAGCTTAGGCAGGGAGACTGTACCCTGGGCAGCTATGCAGATGCTTTTCAGTTCCTGCAATTCTTGTCTTGGGATGACTGCTGCCTTCAAAACCAGTTCCTCAAAGGCCTTTCAGAATTCTTCCGCAAGGAGCTCTTATGGTCAACTGAAATGGCTAACCTGGATGAGCTGATTCTTGAATGTGTGGAGATAGAAAGAAAAGTGCGTGTCCCCAAGCCAATCCCACTCCCCGGGGTTCGCAATATCTTCTTCCTTTTTGCTGCAGACCCTAATGTGGAGAGAAGTGAAGAAGAAAAGCACTACAGTGAGGATGAAGATGCAGAGGTGCACAGGCGCAGGCTTCACAAAGACCAGTGGAGGTGTGTGAGAGTTATTCAGCAAGAGATGAGGGAGCAGGAGGAAAAGAGGAAAAAGGAGGAAGAGATTAGGAAGGGGGAGGAGGTGAAACAGAAACAGGAGGAGGACAACCACAATGAAGACGAGATCTTGGTGGTCGGCGACATAGACAAGGAAGAGGAGGCAATCAGGAAGAAGAATGAGGGTGAGAATAAGGATGAGGACAAGGGCCAGGCACCAGGGCAGGAAACAGAGCAGGAGCCAGAACTGGAGGAAGAGACAGAGGATGAGGCCCAGGATGATGACCTAGATGAGTTCATGGACATGATGCCGACCTATGCCAATGCTTCATCCCAGACTTCTGGCTACTATCATGAAAATTTCCTAGATGCATCAACTCCCATAATACAAGCCAACAGACGGAGGAACCAGGATCGAGTCCCACTGCTGGAGGGCCTTCCAGGTATCAATTCACCCTTCTACAGTTCACCATCACTGATTCGCCAGGCAGGTCGCTTGGTGCAACGCCAAACTCGAAGACGGTCCCCAGTACTATTCCGCCTCACTCAAAGACAGGGGGGCCACCGGGCTCCCCATGGCCGAATTCGTGTGTGAGTGCTGGGGGAGATGGCCACCCAGAACACACCCTTCTACTGCGTCCCCTTTCCTTGCTATTGCTGCCACACCTTGACCCTTTTCTGACTAGTATTTAAGGGAGTTCCAGACCTGAAAAACCTGAAGAAGACCTGTAGAACTTCAGACCATCTTGCAGCCATGACCACCTGGTAAAGGAGGGGTCAGCAATAGTTATCGTCTTGATTGTGCACTCTGCTCAGATCTACCACAAGCTACTGAGCAGGTTTCTGGGCCTATTCCCATAAATGAACTGGTCACACCCTCACATTTCCCCTCTAGTCGTTCCTAATCCTGTGTTCTATGGTTTTATCAACTCTGACTGGCTCACCAAAGCTTCACCCAATGCCTCAATGATCTGCCCCAGTGAGCGAAAGGGTGGGCTACACTGAACTCCTAATGCCACTGAAGACTTTTACTAGATATAATTGATGGAGAGTAGGATGGGATCCCTAAATGTGCCTAGAAGCCTACACTTGCTTCATTCTCCAGCAGAAGGGCCCAAAGAGGACCTTACATGTAGTCCAGTGAGGGTGGGCAAAGCTACTTGTCAAGTGGACATTTCACTGAGGTTTGTTCTTGATTGACTGAGCAAGCTAGTTCAACCTTCCCAAAGACTACCGTATCAAGGTCCTTGGACAAACTCACAAAATCTGGGGCCCTCTCTTCTTACCACACTGTCCTCCCGGGCTTCCCCGCTGGACAGAACCCAGTGTTACCCCTTTCCTTGATGTTGCCTGGAAAATGGGGGAGGAGGAAGAAGAGGAGATAAGAGCAGCAACAACTCAGTTTGACATTGTGAGGAGTGACTCCTTAGGGATGCCCAGCCCAGGTCTTGGACTGCAGCCCCCCGCCAAAAGGTCTTTGCAGGAGACTTGCCATCCTTGGGGATTCACAGATGGCCTAATTGGCCATTCCTTTCCAGACTGCCAAGGACAGAGAGGGCACAAGGCCTGCTCTTTAACTTCAACTTAAAGGATTCCTTAGTTCTCAGAAGAGAGAAAATTTCTCTCTACAGAGACTGTAGCCTGTCAGCCAGGCCATCCTCACGTTTCTCACATGGGGGGCAAGCCATGGCAAGGCTGAAGAGGGTGACTGCCTCCTAGTAACTCCTGGGACTTCTGGGTACAAACCTAGGAACTCATATAAAGAGTCCTGCTGATTTCTGTGGGTCTAGAAACTATGTCACTGGCCACAGAATTCCAGGAAAATCCACTGCTGGCCTGAACTGCCCTCAACACTGAGCCTGGCAGATGGGTAAGTACAGTCAAAGTGTCTGTAGTCAGATAGAATAGAGCAGAGTAAATCAAGCCTATGTTCCTCACTGGAGTCTGGCAGATAGTCTCACCGCAGTCTTAGGATTTTGAGCCTGGAAGCAAGAGGAAGGAGCTGGAGGATGACCAGTTCACTGGCTGGTTGCTGGGGAGGTCTCTACTCATCAGCAGAAGGTAAGAAGCCCTTTTGTTTATCATAAATTTCTAAGCTCGGGACCAGGGGAGCTTGGTTCCTATTACCTGTTGCTACCTTTTAAAAAGGCTTCCTCCTCCTCCAAATAGAAAAGTAATGCATAATCATTATAGAAAATGTAGAAAATAGAGAAAACATAAGGACAAAAAGAATCCCAAATATTCTGAACCCCGCCACACAGACGCAAATACTATTTGCTGTCATTCTTTCTAGTGTGTTTTCAGTATGTCTTTTCAAAGCTGAGATCATCCTGCAAGTTCATGATCAGGATTTAAAATGGCTGCCACCTATGCAGTCATGCACACTGGATAATTGAGGTATTCTCCTAATTCATTGGATATTTCAGTAACCTAGTTTCCCCATTCCCACCAGTGTAGGAGTGAACACTGTAAAGAAAATTTTTTCTGTTTTTCAGCTATTTCCTCAGAAGAGTTCCAAAAGGGGAACTACTGCTTTTCAAGGCTGTGGACCCTATTTGCTGATGGTCAACACAATGGCCCTACTGCTCATGTCCCTGCCGGAGAAGTGCAAAGGACAGGTGCCTTCCATCCCCACCTCCAGGGACTCCTTGGCACAGGTTCTGACTGTTCCCGTGGTGCTTCTCACCTTGAGACCTTGTAGCCTCAGCCAGGGAAGGAGTGGGTGAGGAATGAGCTGGTTCCTGGGCCTCTGATGGCAAGGGGGCCTGGGTTCCCCCTTTAACCCCTTTCCCAGGTCTTTAATATTTGTTGTGATGTGACAGCCACCAGAACTGTAAGAGGAGCTATTGGCTATGGGCACTTTCTTGGGTTGAAAGAGGGGTGGGGGAAAACGCATGCAGGGATATGAAAACAGCTCAAGGATTTCAAGAGACTGGGGAGAAAACAGGTTGGAAATAAAGGTGTTATTGTTATGGTGTTATTGTTGCATTACTGTGTTGTGAAGATAAGAAATTGTTCTGTATGCTAAAGCTTTCTCCCCAATAAAAATATAAAGGGTGTGTAAAGATTGTGTCTGTCTGGGTTATTGAGCAAGCATAGGTGGGTACCCAGAGGCATCAGGCACTTACCAGGCACCTTGCCTGAAACAACCCTATCCTGAAGCCTTGCAATCCTTAGATGAGGAAACTATGGCCCAGTGAGGCTCAAGGGACCACCTATAGTCATCTGTATTTGTGTTTAAAGGAAGTGGAGGGACTAGGCATCTGAAAAATAGCATTATTTCTCTACTAACTGGGATATAAAGCTCTGAGTGGCCCAGCTATACCACCCTATAACAGTGCTCCCACACCTCTCTCTCTTTCTCTCTCACACCCTCCACCCCACCCCCACACACACCCTGGCCCTGGGGAGGGAGGA